AAAGGTCACACAGTGGGACTACTTGTAAGTAGGACTCCAACTTCAGTGTGATCTTTTATCCCTCCCTTGGGATTTCCGGTTTCGAACAGTTTAAACTCCTAAGCACCCCCAGTCTTGTGATTTAAAGCCCTATACTGTATATATTGTTTCCAATGTGTGTGGAAATAAAACCATCGTTCTTGAAGAAATTACATAAATACCAATTCTCTTAACTCTTGTTATCAGACATGGGTAAATTAATTACTAATCATGGCATTAAATTAACGTTAGTTTTAGTAACATATACTCCCTTATATCAATAGATAGAAGCTGAAGACAATTCATGGTATGTTTATATCCGGTAATGTAGGGTGTTTAAGTTTATATAGGTTTTAATGTGTCAGGGTTCGAATTCGTGCTGTGACGGTGGCGTTGTCCTGTAATCCAGCTAAACTAGGAGGTAAAAAATTGTGAATAATTATAGACATGCAATGTGGATACGATGCTTCCTGGTGTGGATTAACGTCTGCATTGTCCATAGCTACCAAACGTCTACACATCTAAATAGCAAATCTATATATATGAAAACCAATGTATTTTTGTTTGTATGTTTATTTGTTTGTCCTTTATGGACTCCGAAACCGCTCGACAGATTGTAATAAAACTTTCAGGCATTATTAAGCATTATTCAAGGATGGTTTGTGTGTAGTTTGGTGCAGATCCGTTTAAACGGCTCCGCCTCAGTGGCTCTGGAGTTTCCCATGTTAACCTTATGAAAACTCATATTTAAATGGAAGAATCTTAACAGCTGATTCAACTAAACAATTTGATTCTGTGATGTTCAATAGCATTAAAAAGTTAATAGGTTTACCAACAGGGTGCAGCACTATATATTTTTTATTTATGCAACAGCTAATTTGCAACCTAAAGGTGAGTGAGCGTAGCGAACGAACTTTAACTTGGAGATGAGTAGCGTAGCGAACGAGCTAACCTAAAGGTGAGTGAGCGTAGCGAACGAACTTCAACCAGGACGTGAGCCATGAATATGTGGACGTGAATATGTGAGCCATGTGCACATTATCACAATTATCATGAACGAGCTCATATTGAAAATGAACGAAGCATTTGACATAAAACCACATTAGGACAGGACGACGTCTGTCGGGCCAGCTAGTTTTACATAAAATACAACAATTAAACCTCATATGATACGGTGGTACATACTCAACCACCAAGTACGATACAAATATTGTGTGAATTATCGTCGTGTTGCACATGTTTGTGTGAAGTCAGCTGATGTTTGTGTTCCTCTAACTCGCTTATCATCGCCAATACAGATGCACACGTCGAAATGTGTCACCGAACATAGACAGTACACGGCATAATGTATACAGAGCATATGTATATGTTTGAAGATTATTTATATAGTTACAAGTTGGCTGTAATAACCAGAAATTTGAATCTGGTTCTTCAAATAGACAAAACCAAGTAACACAGTTCTGAGGAAGAGGACAATTTTATTAGTGTACTTGTATGAAGACAAAACTAATAGCTCTAAAGGATAAATACATTGAATATATACACATAAATATCGTTTAAACATTCATACATTAAAAATTTTAATAAAACCCAATGTTTTGCATTAGTTTTTATATCCCGATTGAGAGGTAAAAAATACAATTAACTGTGGATTATTCAAAATTATAACTAGCGTAAAAAAACTTAAAATAAACACACTTCTCTTTAGGTAGACTTAAGACTAATGTAAACTACTTAACAAACTTTTAACAATATCTTCATACATCTAAAGTTTTACTATGTAAGTTTAGTACGAAAACGTTATTACCACCAGTATTCAACTCAATTAATTGATTAGGCCTAATTATGGCTGTATGACTAGTCAAACTGATTGAAATTGTGATGTCAATTTAAAACATTTTAAAAATTACTGCAAGTATAAACATATCCAATAGTTTGGAAGACGTATTCCATTTCCTTGTAAAAGCACCAAACAGGCAATTACAGTACAAAACATCCAAACAAATTTCTTGGAAAACTTAAACATTGCTAAATGTGTGAAATTTGTATTGTCATTTTTCATGTTAAAAATTGAATTACAGTTTTATCGATTGCGTAGTTAGTTTCGTTAAACACAAACGATACATACTACCCATACCCCAGACTCTAGAGGGAAAGTCATTGCCATATATTACATGACATTCTTAGAGGACCCCTTGCTGGAAGTTTCAACTTCTCTAGGGAGAATTTTGGTTGCGGACGGTCGAGTTCAAACGTTAAGTCCTGAGCTTTATTGACTTGTGCTGGAGCTAGAAGCAAATAAAACGAAAACTGGACGAGGAATTTAAAATTTAATAATAACTAGTTATAATATAAGGTTCAGCAAAAGAGATCCAATAGAGATTCAATTATGGAATAAGTGTTGTTGAAGTGAAGTAAGTTATTTGGTAATTTTACGATACAGTTTATGACAGGACATTTCTTATGTTCTGCAAATTGTAACAAATGTTTTCGTTGTAGCATTAAAATGTTATTTTTTAAATTATGTCTCCATATCCTGTCTGGAAGTACGGGGACAACCACAAGGTAAGACAACACTAGTTAGTTGTATATATTTGGCTACTGAAGACATATACGTAGACCTGTAGCCAGTATTTTATACAAAGGAAACATAGATTATTCAACCTCGAGTAGGAAGTGTTTTAATTGTTACTTTTGTAATAGTTTGTAAGTTCAATGTCTGTTACTCTATGAAATTGCTGTTGAGATACACGAAAGAAAAACTTAATGATTACAATAAATAATAGCATTTGTAGAATTGACCGCAGAGGCATTTTCTCCATTAGAAAGGTAAAGATTTTTAACTATAATTTACCTAGGCCTACTCAAATAACTTTCATTACTTATTTTTCTTTTGTTAATTAAAGCAGAGTTCTAACCCTGAACTGCATTACAATGAATTAACACACAACTTTACACTAGACCTATATATTGCGAGATTAACATGTAGTTTAAAAATAATTGGTGATTTGAACCCAGCCGTACTCTACCACAGCACAAGCGAGCTTGTTAGATAAGTTAATCTATAAACAACAATTAGCAGCATCAACTTTACCTTCCTAATCATAGTGTCCGAACACATAAAAACAAATGACTTTGTTAATAGGATCAGAATCCCTTGAAGTATCCAAAGTCGGTATAGTATTTAATCTATGGTTGTAGGTACAGCTGGAGGCGCTCAGCTGTTTTGCATACAATGGGTGTCACCTGGATTAATGTAGCGTCTTTGTACAGCGCCGCCATTGTCAGAAACGCATTCTGCTTACCACTGTTCATTAGATGGCTTTTTGTTCTTTGGAGATTACTGTTGGATTATTCTCCTTTTATTCTCACGAACATGACAAATGGGAAATGCAGAATGTAGTTTCTGGAATGAAGAAAGTATAATAGCGCAATAAAATGTTTTCGAAAATGAAGAAAAAAATGTTAGAAAACAGACAATGATTATATCAACATGACTTTTGACACATAGTATATTTTCTGTGCTTTTGATTATGTTTTAGGTGCAGAGAACCAGCATACAATTACAATGAACAAGCGTATCAATATAACAGATTTATAATTGCTTTGTCTTAATTTCAGCTGTTATAGAGATGCTAAATTACTTGAAACACATTATTCCTCTATGTGTTCCATAAAGCTGTAAATGTCTAATTTGACATCGGTTTAACTCAATCAATAGTCTGGTAGAATCTAAATAATGTACTTGTGAACATTGTTTCTATTTTTGTTTCCAATTAAACCAAATAAACAATTCAATTTCGTTACCAACTAGAAACTTCTGATGTTTGAGTACAACTTAAATTAAATAGGGGGTCAACAGGTCTATTTTACCTATTAATTTTGTATAATTTTGTAGCTGTAAAATAGGTAGTTTTTTAGCTCTCCTGGATTACACAGACACGAACAGGCAAGCATGTTTCTTTAAAACCTTTTTTCTCAGCTCTTATGCATCGCAGGGAAAATATACGCATACAGTTGGAAAGATATTACCCTGTAGATGTACATAATCCCTTTACAAATATAAACAGGCTAAAAAAAGCACAAAAATGAATTTGAAATAAAAAAATTAACATCGTCCCCATGGGTTGACATGCTGGTGACGAAATAACAACAAAATATAAACAGAAAATTAAAACAAATGGAAGAAATTACAATCACATGTTTTATTTACAGCGTGGGGTAAATAGAGAAACCTGTACCTTCGACTGCCTGTACACACTACATATTTTTGGTCGAATTTTCGACCACTGGACGACCACTAGTTCTAAAATCTTAACATCCTATTTGAAGACTTGATTAGAATAACTGTACTCATAAAACAAATACATTCTTACTTTTCGAATGTTGAAACTAGCTAACTTAAAACAAACTTATGATATCGTTGGAGTCTGCATAACTAATTGCTACAGACTTTGCTGTCTTACAGCAACATTTGAGGTGGTTAAAGAAGCTTCTCGTCTCTAGAAACTTCAAAGAGCGTCGGGCAACAATACTTGCAGAAACATGGTAATTAAATTATCTCGCCTTGCCTCCCATGCTGAGTACAGTTTACAAAACAATTACGCTGCTGTATAGGGAACTTTAACATTTGGTTCGTCTCGTTTAATTGCTTTAATTAATTAAATTAAATTTCATTTGTTCAGTTGAAACAATTGTTGGTGTAACAAGTTTAACACGTGTCATTTTTAAATACGTCATCAAGTAACGATTCACGATCAACAGTCTATTCATTTAAGTCAACCCTTATGAGTGAACTTAAGATAAGCTAATATTTTTTTTTAGAGGAGAATAAATGTATGCCGTACAAGGTAATGTTTACTTTCAATTTCTTACCTTTTTCAACAAAACAAAACATTACATTATTTATCAGTTTTTTTTAGCTAATTTCCCAATAGGGAAGTAGCTATTGCCGTAGGTGGCATGTTAAGACCTAGGCCCGGATGGAGGAAGGGATGGAGGGATGGAAAGAGGGAGAAAGGGATGGAAGGAGGGATACAGGGAGACAGGGATGGAAGGAGGTGGAAAGGGATCGAGAGAGGGATGGAGGGATAGAAAGAGGAAGAAAGGGATGGAGGGAGAGAGGGAGGGATGGAGAAAGGGATGGAGGAAGGGAAATAGGGCGAAAGGGAGGGAAGGAGGGATGGAGGGATGGAAATAGGGATAAAGGAATGGAGACACGGATAGAAAAAAGGAAGAAAGGGATTGAAGGAGGGAGAAAGGTATTGTGGGAGGGGTGGTTCGAGGACAGGATGGAGGGAGGGTTGGAGGGTCACAAAGCACAATTACGACTTATAGTAATATAAAATACTGTATAGTAACGGTATAGGTTACAATGAGAAGTCTCCTAGTTGAAAGTCAATGCTATTGCTTAGCGTGGATCAAATGCATGATGTATTAGATTTTCTCTTTCATTATCCGTGATAAAAAATTCCATTACTGAGGTTGCCGGTTGTGTCCCAAGAGTTCAACAATTCTCCCAAACCAAGTTTAATTCACACTTCTTCCCACCGAGCCAAGGTTATTTATTTTTATCCTGCACTAACAACATGGGGTTTGCTGATAAAAACTTAAATAACTTTTTGAAAATGTGTCAAACATTTAACTCCACTTTAGGTTAAGTCTTGTTTACACACACGTTTTACAGTCTGCTTATTTTGACGTATTGTCATAATGATCTAATGGTTATTGTGCTCAGAATATTTAACGATTGTTTGTGTTACAAAATATGCTATTTCAGCATGCATTTTAAAACGGATTAAAATTACTTCGTAAATAAGAATTTTTCCTAAACAGTCAAAAATTTGCCAAAGGAATGTTATTTTACTTATAATCAGCTTGAATTATTGAGCATGATAACATTTATTAACTGAATTATATTTGTTGTGTTTTTTATATGATTTTAATGTATATAAACGTCTATACAGTAGTAATCTTTCATATGACCATGCAGAAGTTGTTGAATTATGAATTGTATTGCTCCTTCGAGCGTCATAAACTGAAAATGTTTCCTATACAAACGGCCCTGCATTGGCTATGAGTAAGAATATTCAGTGCAGCAATGAAATCTATGTTTTTGCTGTCAAATGTTTGACAGTACTATTTGTATATAAATACAAGCAAGTTTACATTTTAGTCCAGTAAATAGAGACAGAAATAAGGGGGTTAACTTACAAACGGTCCGGTAAGTCTAATTTTTTTATATGTTGTCAAGGATGGTAAGTAGGTGTTAAAACCGCAAAATGCACAATTCTACCCCCTCCGCGCCCGCCGCCATATTGAAAAATCGAAACAATCGGTACTTTCTAGAGATTTTCACCTATATCTCCGTTTTGGCGCGTTTTAGCGAAAAATATGTAATTGCAATGTTGTAGACAATTAAATTTCCTATAATATAAGTATAACAATTTGGTTCTAAGACTTATGGATACGAAAATATTCAAATTATTTTACAATAAAACGTATTTTTTTTTGTTATTTTGCCAAATCTCTTTCTTTAGATCGCTGTAATTCAGTAATTAAATATTCTAGGATAACAAGTATCCTAATCACATGTATAGAGCATTTAATTACCTACAAAATGCTTCTATTCTTAATGCCAACCGTTTGATGTGGGGCTGAAAAACAAACAAAACAAATTAAAAGAATGGGTTTATTTTTTTCGCTTTTGTGACCTAAAAACTAACAAATTAACTTTCAGTTTTCGGTTTAATTTTCAGTTAATGAAACCATACTTACTGTACTTACTACATGTAACAGTGCAATGCTCATGATGCAGGTAATATATACCTCCCTTACAAATATACACTGGTGAGAGGAGGTGTATATTTATTTATTTATTTATTTATTTACGGCAAAATCTCCATTTGTACAATTAATTACATGCATAACTTCCTGTAATACTTTTAAGATAGGTAATACATTTTTATAATATTGCCCAAAAGATAGTTTAACTCGTATATTCCATAACCAATGGCTTAGAGACTTTCCCACAACACGTGCTCTAAAAATATCAAGTTGTTCTGCCAGCTGTCTTTAAATCTATTGTTGACAACTTGGTCTGTTTACAAGTTAATAACAACTGAGACTGCAACCATCTCTTCTCTTAAGTTTGATTTTCGTTTAAAAGTTAAAATTATATCTTGTCGTACAATGAGTAAGCTGTACATTGGAAATCTACCACCAGACGTCAGTGAATCTACGCTGAGGAAGCTTTTCGTCGAAAACAATCTTCCTTGCAGAGCGATCATGATAAAACGAGGAGGTTATGCCTTTGTGGACTGCATGGACCAATCGACTGCGGACAAAGCTATCGACAAATTCAACGGATGTAACTTCTTCGGGACGCCTCTCCAAGTGGAACCGTCAGTCGTTGGTGCTGCTACTCCTGGAAAGAAACCCGGAAACACCAATGATTTTGTAGAAATAACAATTGAAGATGAAGATAAATGACTTTGTAACATTGGTGCTAGAAAGTCTATTGAAAGTAAGTCGAATGAATGAGTGCCAGTTATTTAGAATTAATATGTACTTAAATAATAGTTATTTTATATGGTTTATAGTTGTGTCTGTTAAATTTTCGCCATTTGTAATATGGATGTGTTAGCTTGAATTCTCGATATTGAATTTTCAGTTGCCGGTAACTGAAACATCTTCTAAATTTGAGTGAGACAATGTAGATATTTCTGTAACAAAGTTCGGCGCCACCGAGATGTTTGTCTGGGTGTATAGCCCTAATGACCCCCTGGTGCTACAATTACGTGAATGTCCGTTCAATTACCCAACGTATGAGAGAAGACATAAGACTCAATTGGTGATAAACTTTCCAGTTGTGCCTGATTGCACTTAGCCTAAGAAAACACATTTTATGGTATTGCAACAAAATTAACATAAATATTTATTGTGTCAAAGTCTATGTTTATTTAGGCCTAGGTATATCTTAAAATCCAAAATGTCTTTAACCATTATTATTAATAACTATTATCAATAATCAAAGCTATTAATACATTTTAAGATTGGTTGGCAATTATTACTTTAAATTTGGAACACAATCCAAACACAGTTCATTCTGTTACTGGTGTGACGAGATGTCGTGTTTAAAATTGAAATTCGACGCAGCAAACAACTCTTTCCCTGTTTGTCATTTCGTTTCATTTTCAGAGTTTGATTGCTTGTGTTGAAAACAATATGTGGATTTAAACAATATTATCGCAGATCTTAGAGAGAAGGGCTATTCGCCTTTACCCTGTGGTTCAGTGCTCTATTTAAGCTGTAGTTTCACCTGTCGGTAAAAGGATAAGTTTCTTAGACGAAGATGCTTTTCTACGTAGGTACTTAAGAATTACATGTTCTAGGCCTATTAAAACACCCTTTAGCGAATTTTCCTATAGGGAAGTAGCTATTACTTTATTTGGTTTAAAGGTGTAAGGCGGGATAAACTCGAATGAGTTTGCGAACCAGCATGATCTGACCATGGGAACGGGGTTTTACGGGAGGTTTTATGGGCTAAAAATTAGTTTTCCTCATTTTCGACCCTCAAAACACAAAATTTCCCAACTTCTCTCTGGACCTTTTAAAGAGCTTAAAAAACAAATAATTTAGTATAGCCTATCAAATTGTTATTGTACAATTATTGGTACCTAACGGAGAAAATTCAAAAAATTGTACAAATTTAAAATTCCCATGTTATTCTAATGGAGAATATTGTACAAAATGTTGTAGTTTGCTTGTTAGCGAATTTCCCTATAGGGGAAGTAGCTATTACCGTAGGTCTCATGGTAAGACTTAGGCCCGGGACCGATTTACTTTTTCATTTTGATGTCCCCAGAGGCCAAAAACACCATTCGTTCAAATTTTTATATATGTATATATATATATATAGATTTATATATATATATGTGTCCGTGAACACGATAACTTGAGTAATTTTTATCCGATTTTGATGAAATTTGGTTTGAAGGTGTAAGGCGGGATAAACTTGAATGAGTTCGCGATCCAGCATGATCGGACCATGGGAACAGGGTTTTATGGGGGGTTTTATGGGGTAAAAATTGGTTTTTCTCACTTTTTACCCTCAAAACACAAAATTTCCCAATTTTTCTCTAAACCTCCTTAAAGAGCTTAAAAAACAAACAATTCAGTATATCAAAGTGTTTTGGAGAAAACTAAAAAAATTGTAAATTTAAAATTCCCATGTTAAAGAGAATATTGTAAAATGTTGTAGTTTGCTTGTTTATGGATATATTTTGATCAAACTTGGCAAATTTATTTATTTTATAGTAAGCTATCAATATTTTACTAAAAACACACTTTATTAGTTTCCTTGTAGCAGCAAACCTAGGTACTCGTTAAACCTAATGTTATTTAAATAGATCAATTGAAAATCAATTCAGCCAAATGGAAATTCGCTTAGTCGGCAGGTTTGCTGCGGCGGGGGTATTTGGTCATCTTTCCTTCATTACTACCGTATAGCAAATTTGTACCGTATAGATCGAATTTCCAAACGTACAGAACGATACAAATAATATTTTATAACTCTCACTTCCGAGATTTGTTACTCATTCGGTAGATTCCCCTGTGAGGAAACCTTATAAAAGTTTAAGAAGAACTCGACATTTCGATCAGAATTCACCTGCTACGAGACATCACTGATTTGAAATATTCATAGTTCCATTTCTAGATTTTGTAACGTTTTGGTTCGACATTGAAGGGACTAAAATATTTTCTGATCATGTTTACATTGACGGATTATGTACGTTAAAAGATGCAAAATAACGTGTTTGTGGATTTGAACAACAGTTATTTTAATATGAACACTAAAATGAGTTAGTAATGTTTGTAACCGTATTCACATCAAATAGAATAAAAAGACAAACGTAAATAACTAAGAGGGTCAATGGTGGTCAATGGCCATGTTTTCCATTGTTGCGTGAACTTAGTTCATTGTTCGATAAAGGGATACTTCATAGAAAGTAGGTAATGGATCGTTCTTTATGGTTCTGTAAAATACACAAATTTTTTGCCTTAATCAGCATTATTTATTTTGGAAAGATTTTTACGCCATACTACACCGTTAAACCAACTTCCCACGTAGGGATTTAGTCTAGAAAACAGCTGTTTGTAGCCAGCTTAATCAAATGTGGTTTCACTACGTACTACTGTACTGTGATGAGTTTTTACCGGACACCAACCAGCTGATTATGTTTGGCAATGAGTGATTATAAACAAAAACATATTATGAGTAGTGATTAGTCGGTGGGAATGTAAGGATTTGTACAGATTTTTTTTATTGTTGAGTTAGCTTAGAGAAGTATGGCGTAAAACATCGGACGTCACTCGTCCAATATATGTGTTTACCGAACTCTTATGGTAATTCCGCACTCGACTTCGTCTAGCACGAGAACGTCCACACATGTCCGGTAAACTCCTATAACATGTACTGGGTGAGGCAGTGAGAGCAACCCGATTTTCTTTCGTTGTCACATTATAAGTAAATCAACAATGAATGAACAGCTGTGCTTATAACATCAACAATATTAGTAAACATTGTGCCTGAGGCTTGTAACACTGAGATTTTGATTATATAAACCTATTTTTAAAATAGTGATTCTAGTTCAAACACCCAGAGTTTTTTTTGGACCACATTCCATACTTGGTCAATACAGTATGGCACTGTTCCAGATTGGAAAACAATAGGGAACTAGGTAAAATTATTTAGGATAACAGCTTGAACCATAAAAATAATTGGTGGGTTCCGCAAGACGCTTGGTACACCAGCAAATGTTGAAAGAGTGTGAGTCGTGTTAACTCAAAGTCTAAAGAGGTTTGCCAGAATGCTTTCGTTGTTGGGAGCTTTAAGTCGTCTCTTTGCTTTCTTTGGGGGTTCTCCCTATAAGCTACTTGAAATTTACGGGGTTTCAAAGTTGCCCTAGAGATTTTCTTAAATTCTAAGACACCAAAGTGATTCCTGAAGAAATGTTGCAAGGAGTATTCAATGGCATTTTCAAGTGGCTGAAAAGGAATGTCAAGTAGGTAAAGGACGTCTTTTAAAGGATTTTGTTTTGAAGGAATGGAAAATAGTTATTTGTGCAACTAGTGAGAAAAGTGAGCAATTGACTCACTCGAGAGAAATCCTTACTCAGGCGAGTGAGTAATGGTTTTTCGAGTGAGGCAATTGTACTTTGAACTCGAGTTGCACATTATACTTTTCCTACAGTTACCATAAAACAAATAAATTTGTGAAGAAACATAACCTATTTTTACACAGAAGTGAACTTTTAATATAAAATTTAATGTGAAGTGACAAATACAACAGTACAACAGCTGACCAGCTGATTTATAGCCAGTGCTGCCAACGTATTTCGTGCGCATACGACGTTGCCTGCATGTTACGCGCTCACTGTTTCGTGCCTTCGCGTTGCAAATCTGGAGTGAGACAAAGTAATTAGAGTGAGACAATGTTAACATTGTCTCACTGATGAGCGAATTGGCCACTTTGCTTTCTCAAATCAGTGAGACAACATGTACATTGTTAGGTAACTGTAAGAAAATGACTTTGTTAAGTTAAAATGGCAAAAATAAGCTGTGTTTTGATGTGCTATTTATATGTATAGGGTAAATAGTATTGAATTTGAATTATTTATAAATTGCGGTGCTTATTGCCTCATTAGTGTAGGCCAATATGTAATTTCGTTTTTTTTTTTGTTAAAGTTTAAAACTTAATATATTTTTAAAGAAGATATAGTAAACTCCAAAAAAAATTAGGGTTTCATTTTTTTCAATCCAAGATGGCGTCCAAAATGGCCGCTGTTAGGTACCATTTTTAGGTTTTTCCTAAATATCTCGAAAACTATCAACTTTTTGTATACTATACTAAATTAGGAAATTAAAGAAGATTAAATTTCCTACAAGAAAAGTATATTATGTAACTATTTCCGTTCAACCATTTACAAGATATAACAAATAACTTATTCAAATACTCCTTCCATAAGGAATACATGTAAATTTGTATGTATAATAAATGCGAAACGTGGCAAAACCTATCCACCTAAGGTCAATATAACCGATATTCATGAAATATTGACAAATTTTCCAGCAATTTGACACTTTAATAATAAAAATTGGTAAAAAATTAAGGCGAGGGTGAGCACACAAAAAGTTGTAATTATTTAAGAAACTATTGCAAATAATGCGGTTTTTGTGAGACTGCCAACGCCTTAATTTTGGACTAATCTTTATGATTAAAGTGTTCAATTGCTGGAAACTTTGTCAAGATTTAAACATTATCAAATAAAAACCAAATTTAAAAAAATAAATGAAATTACGTATGGACCTGTGTAGGCTCATTTGTAATGAAATAAAAATTCATTAATTTATTTAGTTAAAAGCAAAAGATTATTCTGTTAAAATATGATGTAAACATAAGGAAAAAATTAGGGCGTGATTTTTTCGATTTTT